TCTCTCTCTCTCTCTCTCTCTCTCTCTCTCTCTCTCTCTCTCTCTCTCTCTCTGACCATCGCTGTCGTTTCTGGCAGGCTGATCATGCGATGCCAGCTCAGCGACGAACAGGCAGAGATGGTGGGGAGGAAGACAGTTACTACACCGGCGGCTGCAGCCCATGGTGGGGAAGGTGCGAAAGATGAGATGAGGGCAAGGGAGAGAAGGGGGCGAGGAGAGGGAGGGGGAGAAGGAGGGAAGGGAGGAGGGGTAGGGCGACAACGGGGGAGGAGGGGGGGTGCAGAGGGTGCGAACGGGCGGGCGGAGAGAGGAGAGTGGCAAGGGGGAGGGTGCGGAGGGTGAGAAAGCGGGGAAGATGGGGAGGATGAGAACGGGGGGACAAGGGGACGGAGGCGGAGGGCCAAACGAAGGAACGAGGGGAAGGATGAGAATGGGAGGGAGAAGGAGCGTGCGCAGAACAGATGAATGAAAGGCGGCAACAATGCGAAGAAGGAGAACCTATCTACCTTCAAGAGACTTTTTCTATCATTTCCGCACTCAATGTATGGACCGTATTGATGGTCATATTCGGCCAGCAAAGTCCCGTGTGTGAATATGGTCTCTGTGTTGATTATGGCCTGCGTGTATGGTACCGCATTTACGGTCATATTCGGCCAGAAAAAAATGCCCGTGTGTGAATATGGCCTATGTGTTGATTGCAAAGTTCTAGAAAATAACTCTGAATTTACCGGGGCTGGTCAGTCTGAAGATGCTATCTCAAGGCCATTAAGTTAAAAGAAAAGAAAAAAAAAAGGCCATTAAAAAAAAAAAAAAAAAGTTTCCAGATTCCAACTCGGTCCCGTGCAGTGGCGTCAGGGATTGTTGTCCAGAGGTACACTCACTCATCTTCTTTACTTTAATAATTAACAAAATATTATGTAATACTATCATGACTGATGACATAAAATTGAAAGAAAGAAAAAAAGAAAATTGTGTCGTCTTCTCTCCTCCTCTCCACGCTCACGAAATGAAGTAATTCACACATCAGACTTACTCTTCCCTTCTCTCCTCTCCTCTCGACTCCCCTCCTCCCCTCCACGCTTCTCTACCCTCCTCCCCCAGAACAATCATCTGTGCTATCCTGTTCTCTGATTGATGCATATTTATTCAACCCACAGCGATACTCGCCCTCTTACTCTCTTGCTGATTCAGCCACCCCCCCCCCTTCCCCGTTTTTCCAACAACAAAAGACTTTTCGGACTTTCTTTTTTTTTTTTTGCGACTTCAGAGTTTCAAAATCGCAACTGGAGTGCCATATGATTATCCATTATCTTTCTCTTTCTCATCACGCATATTTCTCGTCCTTCCCTTTTTTTCCCCTTTTCTCTTGCGCATGTATATCTGGGACACGTGGCAAGCAGTGACCATGCCACGTCGGATATCCAGTCAGAAGCATTCTTTATATATATTGTCACACTGTAAATCAGAGCGCGAAGGCGGAAAAAAGCAAAACAAGGAAAGGAAAAGAAGGAAGAAAAGCCCCACCTGTTCATCACCTCTTACGTACAAGGCCAGCCACGTGGATGACAGGTTGAGCGCTGGCTGGCCCCATCCCCGTGTGTCACAAGGACCCACTTGCACGCAGCCAAAAGGCAAAGAGGTAAAGAAGTAAGGAGGAGGAAACCAAACCTGACAGGTCAGCCTCCTGATGAGTCGGTGAAACTCCGACGAAACCGTTTGCCACAGCCCCTCGTTTGTTGTCCTCTTCTCCCTCTCTGCCTAAGGTTTACCGGGCAGCTCTGTTTGACTATATATATAGCTGTCCTATCTGCCGAGGTGGGGGCAGGTAAAGAAAAAAAGAAGAAAAGAAAAAGAGAAAAAAAGAAAAAAAGAAAAAAGAGAAAAACTATATATTGTCACATTGTGAATCAGAGCACAAAAAAGGGGAAAGAAAAAAGGAAAAGGAAAAAAGGGGGAGGGGGAAGAGGTAAGGAAAGCTCCACCTGTTCATAACCTCTTACGTACAAGGCCAGCCACGTGGATGACAGGTTGAGCGCTGGCTGCCCCCATCCCCGTGTGTCACAAGGACCC